CTCTCTCTCTCTCTCTCTCTCTCTCTCTCTCTCTCTCTCTCTCTCTCTCTCTGCCTCCTCCTCCCGATTCCCTTGGAGTAGTTTTTCGCCCTGCATCCGAAAGCCACACGGACTTCTGCATACCCTATGAGCCGTGTTGGTGAACTGTGTGTGCAATGTATTTGGACTCTACTGTAGTCCATTCATATTGATATCTTGATTGAGTTTAAAACATTCTCTCGTTCCCACTAGACTAAACTTATATCACAACCTTTGCAGCTCACATGCAATTTGCTTTGAACGTGTTTCTGGTTCCTGCCCTCCTTTCCGCCATACCCAGGAGTGTTCAGCGCTGACGCCTTCCCTGAGGAGGTGTAAACAGACGGCGGCTAAGGCCAATTTAAGCGTTGCGAAGACGGGCAACAGCAAACCCAACACTCGTGCACGAGCATTGTTTAACCGAATGTACCATCGTGCACGTGGGGATAAGAGGCCGGGTCGTGCTCGTACCGAGGTAGATGTTGTCCGGTGAAAAATCGATACGAATCAGGAAGAGTCCACAACCTGACATTCTACTACCTTAATTTATGGCGGGAGTTTGTCCCTACGTTTTTCCTAGCATTGTGCGGACTGCAGTACTTTGGTAACGCATGTATTCTACTGAGTATAATTTGGGGGGGGTGTAGTGGGTCTTGGTCCCGGAAGACTGTACGTGAGGAAGATCAAGTCGGAGACACGTCTCCCTTCTTAATTGTTGGCGTGCTGACGCCTAACCCTACTTTGAATGAATTGTTGATGAAAATAGAGGTAAGACTGTGACGAGCAGATGTGGAAGCGAAGTAGGATGAGGTCGAGGTGGAGATTCGGCGGGTATCCCGAGCTCTTTTCATGATCTCGAAGACGGCCGAGACCATTGGTGTCAAAGAGGGACGATGAGGGCACGTCCATGTAGTCATTAGACCATTGACCTCGCATCCCTACAACGTCGGGGCGGAGTACACCAGGTAGTTCCCGGACCAGGCTCTCACATCACCAAGCGCAAAGCCCTGTGAAGTATTCAACGACTCGCATGGGGGATGCGCTCCACCCTGCTATGGGTGTTCGGCATCTTGTGCTTACTTCCTCGCATTCATACGGATGGCAATTGCGAACGACCAAATATATCGGGTGCTTGCACTTGCAGAGAGAATTATATGAACTGTGTAACTGCCCAGAGGGTGCTTGACCAATTCAACTCAACGTGGTGCGATCATCCCCTTTGCGCGGAGAGAGGGTTCTCGACTCCGCACAGCGTAGCCTATTCGACCACCATTCACGGTTACCGCACAAGAACATTCAAAGGCAATACCAAGACCTTGTTGTCCAGATCACGAAGCGACCGGCGTGTTTTACAACGTCGTTGCCAAGCGACGAAAAACCGACCCCGGAAGCTCTTCCGAGGGCGATGAGGGTGTGTGTGTGTGGCAAAACTTCTCTGAGAGACCGATACGGTACGGTCCCTACGGTCTCACAGAACGGAAAGAAGTGTGAGTGAATGAATGAGTGAATGAAGGAATGAACGGATAATGAATGAACTGTCACTTTCAGTCCGAAGGCCTGAACCGCGCACTTACTTGAGCCCAACGCCCGAGACGCGAGAAATCACCCCATCGGCCCTCCTGCACTACTTTAGTCGCCCTTCGCAAGTTTCAGCTTGAGTGGTGTTGACGGTGGGTTATGTCGATGACCGGCACTCTGCACGAAACACGATCCACCCGTTGAATTGTTAGTGATATTTAAAAACACGAGTAGTGAGCAGTTGCTGCCGACCCTAGTTTGTCCGATCTCGGTTTATTTGAGCCTACAAACGTCGCCGATCCTTCACCAAATCGAAGCCCCGTCCAATCTACAGCTGGGTTGACAAGTCCTTCGACGTTGAAATAGCCTTGTTCCCACCAATTTTGCCAGCCAACGAGAGGTGCGGGCCACACAGCTGCAACCTCCCGACGAACAAGTATGTTCCCCCAAAAACGACAATTCCATATATATTTGGACATTCCGGCGCGCACGAGGTCTGCCTGCCTGCCTGCGAGAAAATGCATCCATAGCAGATGCGGGGACAGACAACACCCAAAGGGAGGCCTTTGACGAACAGGCTTGCCTGCTCCACTGCGTGTGTGTGAGCCGCTTGCCCGCTTTCAGTTATTTCTTGGCTGAAACTGGAGTGTTCGTGGACGATGGACAATACTTCAAACAAACAACAACAGAACACCCCAATTGATGTGTGTCTCCAGCCTGCTGCTGCCCACACCGTTAATTATGTACGTACGTGGGTAGAACCGAATACGTAGACATACCTTTGCGACGTCAGCGACCGAGCAAAGGGCATATTTCAATGCGACGCCAACGGGCAAAGTGAAACGCTGATGTTGTACACAAATCTTTGCGCATGCACCCGAAGTGTTGAACATGAAATTTATGGTGTCGTTTCAGATTTAAGTTCGGTTCTCAATCTGACATCATCAATCAGAAGGTGTTCTAATGCTGCAGGGACTGCACCATCCGATCCTGCTGAAAATTGCTGATGCTGTAGCGTGCGGTGATGCTCTCCAACAGGACAGCTCTGCGTATCAAATCGCCGGACCCATCCCACGCATGCTGGCCACCCCGCCCCCACTGGGGGGCGAAGACTCATGTGTAGTATTTGTGGACGTCTTTGACTTGGCTCCATTTCCACTTCCGCAGGGCCCAGTTTTGATCTAAGGTTTGATTCAAACTGGGAGAAGGTTCTTCCCGTATATTGTTAGGGTGATCACGACAACGCCGCAGTTGTACAACTGTGGTCGGTTGATCTAAAACGCCTGCACCCAGTACTGTGGCGGTTGTTGGAGCTGTCATCAACCAATAGCGGCTCTCAATTCAATTTTTGCCTGGACTTCGCGCGCGCTTGCGCTTGCACCAGCTCAGAGCACCACACAGCGAAGTACGCACACACACACACACCATGCGGTGTTCGGATGGAGAGCTGTGGAAGCTTCCAGTGGCGGCGTGGTGGCCGTGGTGGCCGCGTGCACGGCGGATGTACGGAGGCGGAGGATCCGGATGGCAACGAGATACACCCGCCGCATTTGCCGCTCATCTGCAACCAATGCCGGCGCGGTCTTCCCCACGAGCCTCGTATCCACCCATGCGCAAAGAGAGATGCGAGGCGGCCTTCTAGCATCAGGCACGCAGAAGAAACCAATTCGCCCACAGCTGCGCGTGGGAAACAGAATAAGAAAACGTCAAGAGGACGGCCCAATTCGTGTAGTTGTGCGAAGTAAAAACTATCCAGAAGAAGGAGCACAAACCTTGTTCCGTGTTACGGTGAACTTGAAAGCACCAACGTACTGCTGTGTCGTCTTCCTTTGGCGGCTGCTTCTTCATCTACACCTTCACACGACTGCTGCAACGAGACGCATGAATGCAAACCCTTTCAAGATGAGTTTCGACGCCGCTCTTGTTGCCCGATAAAAGGCTTTTCTCGGTTGAGCGGCTCATGAACGCTATTATTGAGTCTCCCGGCATAGCAGGTAATAACCGCTAAAGAGGTTTAGCGAGAATGCCCTAAAGTGTGGTCATGAAATCCCGTGACACTATCGGCCACTAAACCGGGACCACGGCCGTATCACGCGCAGCTCTTCCCAATATTTCCCCATCCACGGGTAGTGTTGAAGAGTTTCGAGCATGTCATCGTGGAGGGTTTCCCGTTTGTATCGCACCTACAATATCAACGGTTGGAGAGCGCAACAGGGTAAGGAGCATGGTTGGTGTATTGAGGCTAGGATGCAAGTGCTAGACAATTAACAACACAAGGGTAAACGCATGCTTGCCCGCGCCGGAGAAGCGAAAAAATTAATGTCTTGTCTGGACTTCAGGAGCACAAGCAGAGGTGCGCATACAAACACAACGCGTGGGAGCTTCTTGCTCCCGGTGCCCTATGAGGTCACGCCTCAGGCTGTCGGACAAGGTCAGCGCTTGGATAAGGGTGTCAGCCAAAAACAGCACATGCCAAAATAAGGTTTTTCGGCAAAGGTACCCTTGAGCAGGTGGCCGCAACGCGGTAAGCACCAGAAACCCCGACGTTTTATGATGCGTCTTGATTGCTACCGCCGAAAAGTCTTGATGTTCTTAGAGTAGCACCCGACGGAGCTCGGTGACAAGACAAAGTAACAAACAGGAAGCGATTGTTGTCGATTAGGGAGTGAATTAGGCGCGGTGGGCTGGACTCGCGCACAAGAGGAGTCAAGACCATCAGGAACCAACGGGCGGAAAGCTTCTCCATCGCATATAGACTGTATGTTATACATGTAGTCCTCAAGGGAATGCGCAGGCCTGATCCCTCGGACACCACCTTCGCCGCATACGAGAGAGCAAACGAAGACCTTTACGCAATTATGTTCTGCCTCGTCGAACTGCCGGCTGCAGCACTAACCGTACACAAGCACGAAGACGACACCGGCCTTAGCGGCGACGGGTAGGCAGCATTCGCGGAACTGAAGGCCAACTACAATCGAGTGACAGATAGATGAAGTGATCAGGGCTAAACTGGACGACCTGGAAAGGACGGTCATGGAGCCAGGAGAGAACCCGGGCGATTTTTTCAACAAGAAACACCGCCTCTGCTCTCAACGATAGAAAATGGGGGAAACCATCTCCGATCGCCGCTTCAAGGACATCTGTGTGCAAGGTTTCTCCGAGGACTACAAGGACATCAAGATGGTGGTTTTCCGCGACCCATCATTCGGCGTACAACAGGTGCAAGCCACCATGCGCAACAATTTCCTTGACGAGCAAATGCGCAAGAGAACCAAGGGCCAAATCGCTGGCCGCGGATTCACCATGGCTACCAAGACATCTGGCCCCATCTGCTTCGAGTGCAACGAACCGGGACATGTCAGGAGGAACTGTCCCGTACGAGGAGCACAGAAGGCGACCGCGGCGGAGGCGAGCGAAAATCCGCGGGGGAGAAACAATGGCAGGAGCAGTGGTCCAATGCGCTGGGGTTTATGGGTGGAAAAGTAGGCGCAATGAGGTTCATTTTGAGTTTGATTTAGTTTGAGATTTGGCGTTTGTATTGTATGATGCAGGCTTGGGTTTGGTTTTTCAGATCTGATTGAAGTGTGGATGAGAGGATCAGAAGTACTGTTTTGATTTTCGGCACCTCTCGTATTGTTTTTCGGCTTGACTCCGACCCCTTCACAAAGCAGGTGGGCGGATCCTCGGAGCAGGGGGGCACGTTATATTCTTTCNCACATCTTGGTAATGGTAGGATATCTATGGTCCGTTCGGGCAAATATTCGCAATATTTTCCCCTGCACAAAGGTGCACTTTTCTCGGGGTGGGGGTACTTNCAGTATTTCAGGGAGAAAGTACTTCTTCGCGTTTTACCTGCGGACGAAGGTTTGGTGGATGAATGGAATGATTTGTCTTAGGATTGCACACATCTTGGTAATGGTAGGATATCTATGGTCCGTTCGGGCAAATATTCGCAATATTTTCCCCTGCACAAAGGTGCACTTTTCTCGGGGTGGGGGTACTTATTCCGAAATCTGAAAATACCGCGTAAATCGACGCATCTTCGTACGGAGATTTTTTTTTTTTTCGTCCTTCGCTCGATAGGTTCAGATATTCAAGAAATCTTGCTTACTTTCTGGAGGGCGATGTTTTTTGCAGACACAAAATCTGAGACCGGATTTGGACAGCTCTCGTGATTTGCCACCGATTATTTTTTTCCGATTTCCAATTTGACAAAAAAATAACGTAGTTATGGGCAAAAAAACGGATATTGGAGGGTATTTTGCTTAGTTTCTTGGGGACAATCCAACCGTACGATTCAAAAATAAAGTGTTGCAATCGATTCCTCTCGTGATTTCCCACCGATGAATTTTTTCCGATTTCAAAAAAAAACTCGGGTTTCGGAAATATTTTGGGTGGTTTCACACGCCCTCGGGGAATTTTTTCCCGCCACACACACACCAGAGGACACACACACACACACCCTTTACGCACGCAACGAAAGACGCACACGCGCTCCGGGCACATGGGTCGCCCCAAGGGTAAGCGCAAGCTGCCAAGGAACGCCGACGGCACGATTCGGAAGGCCCCTTCGCCCCCTGCGGACCCTGCTGTAGGCAACGACTCTCGTCCCTTTTCCGACCATGAAGGCGCCAATATTTCTCCCATGCACACCCACGACCACGACGACGACTGGCCCCACCGCCGTTCTCATCGGCCTGCCGAAAGGAGGAAAGCAGCTGCTCATGGAGATGGGGCTGTGGGAAGGCGAGCCAACCCTACGCGTTCACGAGTGCAGCGCGTGCAGGGCGGAAAAGGCGGCAACAAGGCAAGCCATTACCGCCTTCAACCGCGGTGGAGAGGGGCGGCAGCAGGTGGTGGACAACACGGGGCAGGGAGAGGAGGACGGCGGAGAGGACGGGGACTCGGGTGGGAGCGGGGCAGCTGGTGAAGCAGGCAAGAGGCGTCGCTGCTGCGTCGTGCGCGTTCTGTCTGAGCTCAAGGCGTTCAGGGAGGAGCTCAACATGGTTGAGAAGCTCTTCAAGGCACACGGGCACCTGTGCATCTTCTTGCCGAAGTACCACCCAGAGCTCAACGCAATCGAGCGATACTGGGGGTACATCAAGCACCTCCTCCGCCTCCACTGCGAGTATTCCCTTCGCCACATGCTCCAGGTCTTGCCCGGCGCGTTGAGCGGCGTACCCGCACGGTTTATCCGCGCATGGAGCAGGGTGACGTGGCTGTACATCGAAGCCTACGACGAGGGCCTGGAGGACTACCTCGAGTACCGCGATCTCAAGGAGTGGGGGAAGCACCGAGAAGCCACCGCCAGGGGAGATGCCGTGATTCAGGCGAGGGGGGCGGGGAAGACGCCGGAGCAGAAGAAGGCAGCCGAGGCGAAGGCGCTTGCGGCTGCGCAGGAAGTGCGCAAGAAGTCGATGGCAGCGACCAGGGAAGCCTTCAACACGTGGACGAGCAAGAGAGCCTCCCGGAAGGAGCAGCTACGGCTGTGGATTTTGCGCAACACGATGAATTTTTTGAGGAAATGGTTGGGCGGGCACGCTCAGGCGTGAGTGGGGAGGGTACGTATCTATATGTGGCGGTGTGTTGTAGTGTTGGTTTCTCGCGTTCAGGCGCGGTAGAGGCGTTCGTCATGGTCACCAACTCAACGCTATAGCTGTCTCTCTTGGTATCGGACTTGCTTAGAGAGGACGGATGTGATTGCTGCATGCTTTGTTTGCAGCACCTTCACCAGCCAGGGGTTGAGTAGAAAGTAAACGGCGGTATTGTATGTATGTAGTTACATATGTAACGTGTAAATAATGTAAATATGGATTGACAACGGTTTAACTGATGTTCTGAAGGCATATACGTGTAGAAGGGAGGGGTTGAGGGGGGGTCGTGGTGTACTTTGGGGGCTCCGTGGGGTCATGAGGGGGTGGGGGGTGGGCTCCGTGGGTCATTTTGGTCAAAAATGTCGCATTTCACCCAATCACCAAAAACTCATCGGATATCGACGAAGCTCGACGCCGCGGTCACGCCCAAAGTTGTTTCACTTTCCAAATCGTTTTTTTTCGAAAGATATCGCGAAAAACAAGATTGTGAATATTTGCCCGAACGGACCATAGCTAGGCGGATTTGGAGACGCACTGAGATATTGTGACCAATTGGCGGTGAAAGGAAAGGCGTCTTGAACGGCGTTCGTCATATTTTTCTGAATGAAAAGAGTTTGAGTTGAGAATTTTCAGAAGAGAGCGAGAGTGATTGGCGTGTGTTGGTATGTATGCTATTTGGATACTTTTGTCGTGTCTGAAGTATTTTCGTTTTCTTGGTTTTGATTGTGTTTTGGTATGAACTGGTATGAGAAGGATGACTATGATATTTTCCCGGAGCATGACGATGCATACGAGCAGGGGGGCTATTCGATATACTCGTAGCATAGCATGCGGGTGGTATATTGCCATGCGGGTATTGCAGTGACGAACTACGGAGGAACAAGAAGTTTCTTTATGTTTTCCTTGGGAGTGTGGTTGGTGTAGATTCATGAGGATTCGTTTTGGGTGTTTGAGCGTTATGCGTGACTTGATGCCGTGATGGAATAACGAGCTCAAGCACGCCCCCGATGAATACAACACGTATACAACACGGACACAACACGTTTTCCAGCACGTTTGTACGACTTTACCTACCCCTACGGCCCGTCATGGCCGAGCTGCTCTACACTCCCATCACACACAACTGAGCCACCCGAATTTTCTTTCAAGACCATCGTCCACGGCACGTGGCCTTGCAGGGCATGAGTCAACGTGGCTTCGCGTGCTGATCTCACACGAACGGGCGACTGCTGTGCGCATCATGCACTTTGTGTGCCACAACGAACGGCGCTGTGGTGCGTTGGCCAATGAGAAGCGCCCAATCCGCAACAAAAACAAAACTGCTTCACCGAACAGACCGAGGTGCAGGCAGTGATGATGCTGCATTATCTTGCTTCACCTCGCGCTTGCATAATCTTGCTTCACCTCGCGCTTGCCCTTCCCATTTTTTTTTCTGCCACCCGATGCAGCTGACCTCTCATGCTCCTCCTCCTCCTCCTTTTCTTCGTCATCCTCATCGTTGTCGTCGTCGTCGTCTGTCTGGTGTTGTTGCCATGTCTGCTATGTTGTTGCTGTGTTGTTGTTGTTGTTGTTGTTGTTGTTGCTGTTGCTGCTGTTGTGGGTGCTGGTGGGTTTGGTGTCATTGCTGCTGCAGTTGCGTTCATGTTGGGTCAAAGGGGTTGCAGGTTGAGGCAGAGCACAAGCCCTTATACCGGCTCCCTGCCTCCGACGTTTTGGCTGTTGTTATCGCGCAGCAGGAAAGATTCTGTTCTGCTTCCTTCTTGTCGGGGATGTGGGCTACAGGCTGGAGCTGCAGGCCGAGAGCGAAGACGAGATGCTCAGGTATGTGGTTGGTTGTTCTTGACGCATGCGTGAAGCCC